AAAGTTAACCGTTAACACCTTCGATCTAGAAAAATACTATAAAAAGTGAAAACAGGATGGTGGGGATGGGGCGGTATACATGAGGTGAAGTGAAATGAGGTGCATTAGAGGGTGGGGATAGATACAATCAATGAAAAATGCAATTCACAGAACTTATTTTTTCTATTTCTACCTGAGAAGTCAGTTTCATTATTATTAAGAAACTTGTTTTTTCTTAAAGAAAATGTTTTGCAAATTTCTTTTGATCAATTGAACATGAAAAAAATGGCTTCAGTGGCTTAGCTAAGAATCATGAAATGTACTTCAGTGGCTTTTTTAAAAGCTTTATGGATCGTTTGGGGATTAATTAAAGTTATGTAAGTATTAGTAATGTAGAAATTAACTATGTAAGGTTTAGTTATTCTATTTGTTACTCTGTATAAACTCATAATTTAAACATGTTTTAATTATATGTGGGATGATAAATTAACAAGCATATGCTAAATTTTATACATAGCAACTGAAATATTAATTATGCTAATTTAAATACATAAATAATTTATGACTTCCTAGCTAACGAGCAATCAAAACGATCCTCCTTAAGTACGCAATGAAATTTTTTAAAGCATGTGGTCTAAATAAGTATTGGATCTATGGCTATAAATGATACTCATTAAAAAGTAAAATGAAGATTTTAAAGTTAAATTTGTCGGTTATTCTTTTGTACTAGTAGTCGTAGTACTATTACTCTTGTAATTTGAGTATCGTGTCACTATTTAATATTTTTTTCACTTTGAGAATCGTATTATTTTCTTATAGTTATATATTTTTCTTTTTTTTTAGTACATGATCTATTATACTTCCATTAGTATTTTTCTTAGACTTCTTTACTTTCATTTGTTTTCCTATTTTGTAACACTTTTACTTGAACCAAATTAAAGGTTATCGGAAATAACTTTTGTATCTCTTTAAGGTAAGGGTAAAAGGTCTGCATACACATTAATTTTTTCAGACTTTCCTTGTGAAATTACACTGAATTGTTATTGTAGATCGTCACTAAAATAGAAAAATAATATTATTTTTTCTCGAATATACATACTAAAAAGTAAAGTATGTCACGGAAGAACAATACATTATCATAAGAAGATAAATGAAATTATCTTATGCAAGTAATAAAAGAGTACTTGCACCTATAAATACCCTTTCTAACTAGACACTATTACCATCACAAACCAACTTTTGGCTCATCTTTTAGAATTAAACACCACCAACAACAACAACAACAAGATCATCATATTCATTCTTCATGGAATACTCAACAAGTAGTCTCATCAACTCATTTCAACCCAAAGAAAAACACACAACATTATTCAACCACCAAATTTCAGCCAGAATCCGTCTAGCCACAGAACTAGACATACCTAATCTTCACAAACTTGTAACACAAATGGCAGAATACCATGGCCTATCACAAATATTCACTACCACAGAAACATCACTTTACAACAATTTATTCAAATCACCAAATCCACCTTTTCATTCTCCAACAGCCCTCATCTTAGAAATTTCTCCCAACCCTTTCCCTCAAACAAACCATAGTACTACTACGAATTTCGTACCTATTATCAAGAACAATTACAATTTTGATAATTTAGAAATCCTGGACCACGAACTCGAGACTTATAGGTCCAAATTTAATGGTCATGGTCATGATAATAGTAATAATTGCAACGTTTATGTAGCGGGGCATGTGCTTGTTTATCCTAGCTATAATGGTTTTTTTGAGAAACCTGGATTATTTTTAGACCAAATGTTTGTGAGGAAGTGTTATAGAGGGATGAAGTTTGGGAAATTGTTGTTTTCTGTTGTTGCAATGCAAGCTGAGAAAATGGGAATGGGGATGGTTGATTGGCTTGTGGCTGATTGGAATGAAGAAACTATTAATTTCTATGAGAAAATGGGAGCTCATTATATTCCTGAATATAGGCTTTGTAAATTGTATGGTGATCAACTTCAAGCATTTGGTAGGAAATCTGATTGATGAGTCGAGGGTCTATTGAAAATAGTTTTTCTACCATCACAAAATATAGGGATAAGATCTGCATGCTTATTATCCTCTTAGATGGAATCACACTGTCTATGTTATTGTTATTGTTAATGATGTAGGTTTTTAAGCACACCGTGCATTGCATTTCGTATGTACTTAATTAGCTCATGTTTCTACGATCTTAATTTGTATTATGTTTATTGGAAATAGTATAGTGATGTTACATGATTGACTTCTTGGGAAAAATCTAGTGACACAAATCAGGGTTATGTTGTTTAAGATTTTTTTGTTAGGAATGTGTCTAAACTGCATATCTATTTTTTAAGGAAAATGAAAAAAAAAAATTATACTCCCTCTATTTCAATATACTTGTGGTGTTTTTTATTTACACATACTTCGAGAAAATACTAATTAGAATTGAGGTTTGACTAGTTTAATCATATTCATATCTTAAAATATAATCTTTGATTTTCATTGAATATATATATTGTTGTGACGTAAGGATGATGAAAATCTAAAAATAAAAAATACTAAGTTTAACGTGGAAAAATCCTTCAAATCGAAGGTAACACCCACGGGATCGACAAGATCCGAATTGCTTCACTATAACAATAAGAGGGTTACAAATATTCTTCTAATGGCTACACAACAAGTGCCAAAAGAGAACAAACAATAGCTACACCAACAAAAGATAAATAGAAAGAAACACCACCGAAATCAGGTTGTTGTCGGAACCTAAAAAAATATCTTTCTGACCTCCTAATCGGTTGACCACCGTTCAAATCAACCACCAAGATGTAAGGAACATTCAGTCAAAATTTCAGCCCAATCCAACGGCTAGTTAATTGGGAAACACAATCTGAAGGTTGCCGGTCGGAGAAAAAGACGGCAGCAAAAGAACATTTTTTCTTCTCTCTTCTCTCTTCTCTCTTATGGAAAGCTCTCTCAAAAACCACTTTTATGTCTGTATGTTGAAAACAATACTAATGAGCAATTGAATAATTCTCTCAAAACCATCCTCTATTTGTAGAGTTGTGTTTTTCCTTATAAAACCAAAATTAACTCCAAATAGAACTACAATTCCAATTATTTTCCTAATAAAATTGGAAACCAAATAAAGAGAATAATTCCAATCCTTTTCCAAGTAGGATTAGGTCATAGGGCTTTGGCTGGAACAAGGGCCATAACCAACATATATATACTCCATTTATGTACTATAATTGAGTATTTATAGTCTTCAAAAACAATTACTATCAAAAAAAAAATATGTAACTTCTAAAAATGACAAGTATTTTGAGACAAATATTTTTACAAGAACAACAATATTTAGAGACAAATATAGTACAAACAATGAAAAAAAAAAGTACATTTTCTAATTGAGAATCGTTTTACTTACAAATAGATAAATCCAAAGCATAAGATAATTTATATTCATGTTAGTCTCATTGTTTAGGAATATGTTGTTGTTTTTCTTTTTTTGCCTACAAAACTACAGGTGAGAGAACTTGAGGGTAGTATATTATATCTTAGAAGTGCAAAAGATGATAGTCAAACCTTAAAAACAGATTGTATGGCTTAATTTGTTATAACGATGGCAAAAAGAGGTTCTATAGTCAAACATTAACTCTACGATACAAAAATAGATTGTATGGGTTAATTTGTTATAACGAGAGCAAAAAGATCTTGAATTTATTTCTCTCAACCTTGGGCCTATACAAAAATATAGAAGTAATTAACTGACATAGAAGTTAGCTTTATCATATTTTTATCTAAAATTTGGGAGTCGGGGTTTGTCCAACTGAAAAATTATTTAACTTGCATGTTATAGAAAGACTGATAGAAGAACTTGAAAGGTCTCTTTGATGCTTGTTTTGCCATAAAACCCGCTACTTGATTTGTTTCTCTGCAGCAATGAGAAATCTGAGACATTCTTATTTATTCAAGAGGCTTATAATACTCAAATTTGAATATTGATCATTTTACTAACTGTAAAGTAAAGTAAGGAAACTTAGTTAAAAACCCTCATTGGATAAGAAAGAATATATTGGATAAAGCGCAACCAAATTCATATTTGAATGATAAGGCTAAATCATATCTTATTTTAAAATTTGTGTCTTGTGCTCTTATTTAGTAACGTGATTTACATTGCATTATAGTTGTTTCTATTTTTGTGTAATCACTGAGTTAACTATTTGGAGAATTTCATAATACAAATGTATGATTTAGAATAAATTGATTAGGTTTGACTTAATATGTAAGTGTTTTCTAGCTTTGCCCTTATTTACTATATTCTCCGGGATGACTCAGTAAAATTAGTAACTTAAAGTCAATTTTTGATAAAAGACTTATATCAATTTGTTTTTCGTACTTGTTTATAACGTATTATCCTTAAAAAAAATTATACAATTTCAATTTCACATGTTAATATTGTTGCTATTGATTCAAGTTAATAAGATGTTAACCATGTACTTGCGATACAATTTGTTTGATTTGTTGTATAAAATTTTATTTACTAATACGAAAATGTGATAGTTATTCTAATAATTTTTTTATTATAACAATGTGCAATATTTTTTACACAAATATTTTTTACTTTTTTTTCTACAACCTACAATAAAATTTGAAAATTGAGACCTTAAATTTTTTCACTAGCCTCCTCTTGTATTCTTACATTGTAATTTTGATATATATGATAGAGTTTGGTCGAGATGGGTGCCATAGTAAACTTGGTTGACCTTGATTCAAAACTTGACTCAATTTAGTATCGTAACAAATTTAATTGAGCTCGATTCGACATCCAAACATAATAATATACCTAACAAGCGAGTAAAACACTTTCTTGATACAAATTTATTGTGAAACTGCTATTGAACTTTATTGTTGTCTCATAATTAAATTACACTTTTTAAAATACAAATTGCACCAACAAATTAAAACGTAACCACAAATTTTGCAATAAATTAAAAAGAAGTCATCAATTTTTGTGATGTGGACAAACACAATTATGCATGCCTATGTCATTTGCAAGACAAGGTGGTTGAACCTTATTTCCATCTTGGTACCAAATCAACCTTTTCTTAGCAAATTCACTTACAAAATTGTCAAGCATTTGAGTAGTAACACCAGGCATAACAACCACATGTGTCATGTCTCTTTCACATGAGAGTTGCCATTTATGAATAAACTCTTGTTCCAATGGTCTCTCGAAAACAACAGTGATACTATGTTCATTCAGCATCGCACTTATTCCTGAACTTCGAAGGCTATCTTTCAAATAACGAGCATTTTTTATGCACCTTTTAGCATCGTCTTGAAGTGTAATATGACATTTTTTGCTCAAACTATACCATAAGAAAATTGGTGCATGACCACCTCGACTACCAGAAATTGTGGCATCTATTGAAGCAATATACTCAATATTTCTTGAGAGTATGTCAACGTGCTTTTTTCTTGCTATTTGTATGCCACAAGGCATTGGACATCCCAAGAATTTGTGGCCGGAGACACTTACACTTCCAATTGGCTTCTTGAAGGTAATTTTAGGTGCCTATATAGAATCATCAACATTTTGTTTTTAATATCTTTAAAGCATATAAGAAATGTAAAATAAAATTATACTATAATAAATAAAAGATTTTGTGCCAAATTATTTAGTAATAGTACTATAATTGTGTGACAATAATAAATATGAATATTTATAATCAACACTCTATATCATTAAAGGACTTTAACTACTCTAGATATAGTAATTAACATTAACTCAATTATTACCGCTAAGTGGTACTTGATGAACCAATAATGATGACAATAAAAATATAAATGGTGAAGCTCTTACATTTTTTAGGAAAGGTAGTATAAGTCCACATAATGCTGCATCACAATGGATGTAGAACTTATCTTGAGAATAACCACACTCTTTAAGTGTCTCAATAACAACATCAAGGTTATCAATTCCTCCTTTGAACGTGGTTCCTACAAAAAATAATATTGATTCAATTTGTGATAGAAGTATATAAAAACAAGAGATCGAAGATTGCTCAGATGATAAACATCCTCCTCCTCCAAGTTGGTTTGAGTCATTCACTAGGAGGGGATTAAAAGAAATAGAAGTACATATAGTTACTATACTAGGCTATTCTAGAAACTTTACTCGAAAATCTATGATATCTTTAAAAAAATCAACTTAAATATTTTTTTCACAAATATTATTTAGGTACCAATATTGAGATGGAGAATAGCAGGTTTGTTTTTGTTGAGAAGTAACTTTGATCTTAAATCATGATAATCCATCTCCCCAGTTAACAAGGTCCCAATAACTTCACATTCCATTTTATACATTCTTGCAGCTTTCAAAACTGAATAATGTGATTCTCCAGAAGCATATAGAATTCCATCAGGAAATTGCTCTCTCCTACACGTACCAAATTAAAAATCGATCGAGGATATATATAAATATGTAACGTGATTCCAAACATAATTATATAAACTAAAGATCGATAATATGAGCAAGCTAACCCTAGTAAAATGCCATGAAGGTTTCCTTCCGTGCCACAATGTGTAACGTAACCCCAATATTGATCCTTTTCGATTTCCCAAAGTTTGGAAAACCAATCCAAAACTCCAACTTCAAAGTGTCTTGAGTGCATTCCATAGTTGTTTTCAGTGAAAGGATCACCAAAATTGTTCAAGTGATATCGTAGAAGAGGAGCTAATGCAACGTATTCATCACAATAAATGTTATGAGGATAACCTGCATGCATGCAATGCCACAACAATACTTTGTCAAAAACATACACCATTCCCTCCGTACTCTACTTGGCACGGAATTTAAGAAAGTAAAGAAGACTTTTGAATAACTTGTGGACTTACAGTAAAGGCGTCATGTAGAATATATCAGAATGGTATTTAATGTTGTGGTTTTAAACATGTCGAAGAAAAATTGAAATTAAAGAGTATTTAAAAAATAAGGAAAGAGCTAGGAGGCGATATTCTTTTTTAAACAAACTAAAAAGGAAAGTAAGAAAAACAAATTGAAAAGGAGGTAGAAGTAGAACTATTACCTTCGATCCGTCTCAAAATACTTGTGTTTTTCATTTACACGTCTCTAATTAATTAAGAAATCATTAATTAGGAGGGGTGTTTGACTATTTTTATCCTTATTTATGTCTTAATATGGAGTAGTATTTTTTTTTATGCATGCATGGTCCAAAATCATGCATAAGTTAATTACTTATTATTCTTGGTACATATTTCATTGGCAATTGATGTATATTAACTTAATTTAAATACGTACGAATAAGAAAATTAAGAATAATGTTGTTAAATAGGGTAATTACCTAGAAGCATGGTGGCTCTTTCATCAAGAATCTTCATATAATCATGTAGTATATGAGTAGTTGAATCAAAATTAAGCTCCCCCTAAAGCATGGCCATTAATAATTTTGTTAACTTCTACTAATTGTGAATTATGACAACCATTATTAATGCTAATCACACCTCCATCTTCTAATATTGGATCATGGCAACCGTTTGATAAAATTTTCACCTGCATATATCCCTCAGAACTATAGTAAGTAATTAATATTGATTCGTCGAACACATTATATCGACTACGTACAACAACAATAACAATATATATGTATATTTCAAAACGGAATATATAAAATAAGATAATCTAAACGTACATAGTATACATACCTTGTTTGGATTGAGACCTTCCATTCTTAAACAAGAGATTTTTTTTGTACGTATGTTGTATAATTAAATATATATCGAAGAGTAAATATGACTCTAAGGTTGTTGTTTCATATATATATATATATAGGGGAGCTAGAGCCTAGATGTCATATATTTCTTCCTTAAGACTTAGAAAAAAGAAAAATAATGAAACGTACGTCTATGTTTGATCACGTTTAACATTTTAGTATCCAGCTATGAATGATTATTTTTTCTTCTTTTGAAAAATGTAATGGTCAATCTTTGAATTCTTAAGCCCAATCTTTGAATTCTTAAGACCATTACATTTTTCAAAAGAAGAAAAAAAAAATCATTCATAGCTGGATACTAAAATGTTAAACGTGATCAAACACAAACGTACGTGTCATTATTTTTCTTTTTTCCAAGTCTATATAGAAGTTACTAAGTACATGTTTTGCCATCAAAAAAAATAATTTAACCGTCCAATTTCTAACGCTCAAATTTACTCCAAATAAGATCAAATTTAAAATAAAAGTTTCATACATCATAAACATCAACAAACTATATATAAAACCAACATGGGTTGTGGTGCACTGATGGGAGTACTTCACCATTAACCAGAGGTCTCGGGTTCGAGCCCTGGATATGGAGAAAAATCATGTTGGGAGCGTCACCCCCGAATGGGCACATTTCAGCCATACATGATTGAAAACACGTTCTTTATTTATTTATAAGAAGATTATTAACTTTACAATAGTTAAATATATGTATATAAATTTTAATTTTAATTTTTTGGGCGGACCACTAATCTTATCGAGAGACCCTTAATTATGATCAATTTGAGACTAGTTTTTGTATGCTAATCATATTTACCAAGCTTTAAATCAAGAGGAAATAATAACATTTTATTAGGATATACAAGACACATCATATAAATGTCTTTTTATATTTCTTTGGAATAATATTCCATATGATCCTAATAAAAGCCAAATGAAAATAAATTAATTAAATTGCAGTAGTTGCCATTTGTAATGGTATTCAAGTAGGATTGAAGTTAGAGCAAGTTGCAAGTTCCAATTGAGCCAATAGCATGCCTCGTGTTCTTAAACAAACTCAATTGTATTACGGGTCAAACTAATTTTTCTCCTTTTTTGATCGACATAATTGAATATCTTTTATTTTAGGGAATTTTACCCGAATTTCATATTGTTGAGTTAATTACATCTTATTCATGATCTTTTTCAAATTACAAAAAATCCTTAAATTTGATGGAATCTAGATACATCTCAAAACTTTCCCGATACATTGTGTCCCGATTTCAGATACATCCTTAACTTCCCAATACATCGTGTCTCGATTTCAGATACATCACTCAACATTTCGATACATTGCGTAAAGTGATGTATCCGAAATTAAATGGAGTAGGGATTTTTGTCATTTTTTTTAAGGGTAAATTTCGTATATGGCAAACAGATTTAAGCAAATAATGTTCTATAGCTATAGTTTATCTAATTATGCTCTATGGGTATAGTTTAGTTTGTTATGGAGCATTAGATTTGTATATCTCGTTTTTTTTGTTTTAAATTTATACAAAAATAATAATAATTAAATGAATACATGAGCGCTAAATACGGCAACAAAATAAAACTGTTAATTAATCCCTTAATTGATGCGACAAAATCGGTTTTAAAAAAGAAAATATCCTTACAATTTCTTACCAAAATGGACTCCTCAAGCTATAAAATTCTCCCTTAAAATTGAGATGTTTTATTTTTACTGGGTTATAACAATTAAAATTTGGTTTGATTTCTTCATCCATAATACAACAACAAATATTTTCCGATTTAAAACTAATAATTCGATTTAGTTCTTCCAATCTAATTATTCATTTGAAATAAAAAAAAATTCAAATCATGAACTCTGAAGTATACAAATCAAAATGTATATAATTATCATGAGCATATACAATCGTATAAGATATACATATGATAAATGCATGAGAACTATTAGTATATATACAAATAAGTAATTATATATTATTTCTGAAAACGACAAATACATATATCATTTGATATACAAATTAAAATGTATATAAATATCATTAACAAATTCAATTGTATAATATATACAAATAATAATGCTAGAAAATTATTAACATATTCAATCGTATAAGATATACAAATGATAAATGCTAGACAACTATTTGTATATATACAATTGACAACCTTTTTGTATATATGCAATTGATATATATATACAAATAATAAATGCTAGTAAACAATTGTATATTACACATGGAAATATACAATAAAAACAACAAATACATATACCATTGTTTCATCCCTGTTGAACCATAAAACTTTTTTCCTCAACTTTTTCGCGTCTATGTTTTGCTTGAAAAAGTTTCAAACTTTGTTGCATCTTAATTTAGTCATTTAAGTGCTTGGCTCCAAACTCTTCAATGGATCTAGTTTATTCATTCGGTTTAGATTTAACAATAGATCTTGCAATATCTTAGAATGCTTGAGTTAGATCCAACGAGAACGATGGTGGATCATCAACAAATTTGACACGCAATTGTATACCTCTAGTAATCCTCTTGGATGGAGTTACTTCGTCCATTTTTTTCTAATAAAATCTGAAAATTTGAAGATTGAAGAAAGATTTTTGTGAAAAAAAAGACAAGCATAAATCATATACAAACGAAAAACAATAAAAAAGAGTTGAAACACGTTTTGGGCGATTATCTTGAATTGTGATGCCATGATTAGGAGGGAGAAAGTAAATTTCGAAATTAAAAATCAATGTATATGAGTGATTTTAAGAGAGAATTAGAGAAGGGAGAGAGGAGAGATAAAATTAGATTTGTATAAATGAATACTCAAATAAGGGAAAGGACTCTTTTTCGTTCATTAGTTTGTGGGTCCCATAATTAATAGCAAATTATAAAAGACTATAACCACACAGTAATTAATTGAAACTGTAACCATAGTGAATAATAAACTGATAATGTTTGTCAACTCAAGTAATTTTCCCTTTTTCTAATGGTAGAAATTTTTTAAAAATATAGTAAAATAAATTAAGTATTTAGATAATTTTTCCTTAATTTTACATTGGGTTTTGGGCCCGTGATTCTCGCTTAACAAAGGAAATATTGGTCCAAATCTAAACGGTGGTGGTGGAGCACTACAATTTAATTACTAATATTTGGAATAATACATTTTTGGTTTTTAATTATTACTTAGTAACCTTTGATTTTGGTAATTAATTATGGTATGTGATTTAACATATTTATAACCTTCAATTGATTAAAGTATGTTTTTACTTACTTTAGACATGAAACATGTTATTTGGACAATTTTTAGAAGTTTATAACCCTCAAATCTATATCTATATAATAGGAGAGGTGATAGCGCCTACGTGTCAACACCACAAAATTTGTAGATATATTAAATAATAATAAAAACCGTCTTCCTTTTAAAACTTTTATATAATTACAAGGGAAGTTATACATTTTTTAAGAAATAAAAAAACCATTTACACTTTTTTTTTCCTTTTATGTTTCTAATTTTTATTTTTATTTTTGGATTTTTTAATTTTAGTTAAACGGGGGAAGTTATACATTTTTTTTTTAAAATTGAACTCAAAACCCTTTTTTCAGTTTTTTTTCCTTTTATGTTTGTAATTTTAATTTTAATTTTTGGATTTTAAATTTATTACTATTATTTTAAAACCTATTTTTTTATGGTGTTGAAACGTAGGCGCTATCACCTCTCCTATTATATAGATATAGATATAGATTTAAATTATTTAAATTTTGAATTGAGAAGTTAATTAGTTTTAAAAAATAAAGTTCTAAAAAAATTTAAATTCTTTTTAAAAATAAAATCAAAACTATTTGTAATTATATTAAATTAGATATATTTATTTCTTACAGATTACAAAATTACTTAAAATTAACGTAATATAGCCTTTTTTTATTTTTATTTTAAAAAATCCACCACGTTACTCAGTTAGTGGAGAATTTTGAGGAACCATTTCAATTAGGGGAGA